CGGCGACACGCGGCAGAGCGAGCAGGGACAGGGCGCCACCTGATCGGGCCGGAGCAGCCCCCCGCCCCGCGCTGCTGAGGGCGGCGGGAAGGGTGAGCAACCTCCGCCTGGAGCACTGGAAACGTCCACGGGACCATTTAACAGAGATTTTAATGCAGTCCATCGGAGAAGCTTCCTTTTTTTTTTTTTTTTCGGTACGCGGGCCTCTCACTGTTGTGGCCTCTCCCGTTGCGGAGCACAGGCTCCGGACGCGCAGGCTCAGCGGCCATGGCTCACGGGCGCAGCCGCTCCGCGGCATGTGGGATCTTCCCGGACCGGGGCACGAACCCGTGTCCCCTGCATCGGCAGGCGGACTGTCAACCACTGCGCCACCAGGGAAGCCCTTTTTGTTTTATCTAATAGTATTTCAACACTTGTGAGAGGGAAGAGTGGCTGGAAAAATATCACTATTTACGATCTTTTTCTTTCCCAGCACTGTATGTAAACTTTTTTTTAAAAATGGTGATGTTCTTAGTTATGTACACTAATTCCCCTACCTATGAACCTTCAAGTTGCAAACTTTAAAAGATGCGAACCTGCATTCTCACGTCCAATCACGTACGTTAGTTCACGTGTATGGTGTACACTGTCACGTGTGTGCGTCCTCTACAAGTAGTTGTGCTTTTGTGTACTTTACTGTACAGTACTGTATAGGGCACAGTAGTTCAATATCTTTATTTCAAGCCCAGGATGCCCGGAAGCAAGAGGGTAGATAGAATTGAATGCAGCCAGGAAGCAGAACATGTGCCATCAATGTCAGGCATGAGTGAAATTGCAGCTTGCCCTCCGTCTCCTATTTCTGACAATCCTTCAACTCTACCAGCTCCCACCTCCTCTCCCTCCTCCAGTCAGTAACTCTTCTTGCCTGTTCACCTGATGCCGGCCCCTATATGCTAGTTGTACTGTACTACTGTTGGGTACCTAGGCTAAACTTGTTGGACTTACGAACAAATTGGACTTATAAACACAATCTCGGAATGGAACTCATTGGTATGTAGGGGACTTCTGTACTTCAGGGGTCCTCAACCCCAGGCCGCAGACCCCTGTTAGGAACCAGGAACCAGACCGCACAGCAGTGGGTGAACGGCGGGCCAGTGAGCAAAGCTTCATCTGCCGCCCCCCATCGCTTCCCATCGCTTGCATTACTGCCCGAACAATTCCCCCCACCCACTATCTGTGGAAAAATTGTCTTCCACGAAACTGGTCCCCGGTGCCAGAAAGGTTGGGGAACGTTGCTGTACTTTATGCTGACAGTCGTCTTCTTGGTAGCCTTTTAAATAAGTGTGGCTGTTTTGTAGGCTATATTATACTTTTTGAATGGAAGAGAGTTGAAAAAGTTTCTATTTTAATTGGCAACAACCTATTGCACTCATTATTTAAATGAGTGCAATAATTGTAAAACTTATTTAGGATAATAAAATAATTGTAGAAATACTTTTGAATAACTTCAGTTTGAATTTTATTTTTCTGAAAACATGTTTGATAGTAGAATTTTCTTTTTTTTTTACAAAAACTCTGTTTATTACTCTGCTACTTAAAAGTGAAGATATAGCTCAATGTTCATATGATGCTTTTCTGGTTTTTGTTTGGCTTTGGGGGCGGGGAGGGAGTACTAAGTGTAGTAATGGAAATTCTCAAGCATGCAAAAAAGTCTGATTTGTTTTTTATATATTTCAGCCACCATCAGAGGTTGAATTATCTTTATCATTTGTTAGCCATTTTATAAAATTAGAGAATTAAAATAAACACTATGTCTGATGAAGTTTTTAGCACAACTTTGGCATATACAAAGAGTCCAAAAGTCACCAAAAGAACTACTTTCCAGGTAAAGTATTTTTATTTTGAATGATTTTACAAGGTAAACACTGTATTGGGAATATTGGACTTGAAAGTGCTTCTATTCAATACAACAGTCCTATGTAAAGCTGGAGTAAATCTATGTTTCTTTTGAAATTTTGCAGATGATTGTATTTGGGCTCCAGTATTACCAACTCTTCTGTGTGGCTTTACGACTACCAAACTAAACTCAATACTAGGTTCTTAGTATATTAAAAGTTAAATTAGCTTTTAAAAGTTGAATAGCAGCTTCTAATTGCCATTTTCATATAAAAAATGTTTTTTTCCCCCCTGGTGTAACATAATAACATTTAGGCTTTCTCTGTCCAGTCACTACCATTTTGAACTCAGCCTCTAAATTTGCAGTATTGATTACATCTGTTAACAGCAATATGCTGAAACAAAAGATCATAAAGAATACCAGTTTCTTCCATAATGCCAATTTATAATGAACCCTGTCTAAATTGAGTCCTTCAATTAATTTGCTTGGTGTTGTCTGTCTTCTTTAATTTAACCCAAAGCTCCATGAGGAAAGGAATTGTCTGTGATGTTCTGCATTGAGTCTTAAGGGTTGGGTGCATGGCATAAGGTAGGCTTTCAGTGAATATCTGTTAAATGAATGAAACCTAAGTTTTAAGGCAGTTATTAATCAAGCATTATTTGTTTAAAGAATTAATTCAATATATGAGACCTCCACATTTGGGTAGAAATTGATTTCAGTTATCTCATTTCAGGATGAACTAATAAAAGCAATTACAGCTCGCTCAGCCAGACAAAGAAGTTCTGAATATTCAGATGACTTTGACAGTGATGAGATTGGTATGTGACAACATGGGAAAGTAAACCACTTCTCTTATTTTTGCTTCTTTAGTTAGGTTTAGCCCAACCCTGCAAAAAAATCACTATGTTAAAATAATACCTATGAATTCACAGGTTTTAGATCTCCAACTTTTTAATGAATAAAAAGCCACTCTTAATTTTAAAGAAGTTGTATGATTGTCCTTGGTTTTTTTTCTGAATGTGTGTATGAAAATAAAATTTAACTGACAGCAGATTTGCTTGTTAGTGGTAAACCACATTGGAGATAACAAGTTCATCTTTAAAGTCAACCCTATGAGGTAATAACTAGGGCCCATAGAACTAAACTTTGTGCACATTAGGATCACTTTTATAATGCTTTTTATAAATCAAGGGTTTTTTGGCTATGAAAGGGAATCAGTTTAAAAAACCCAATATATCAGTACTGTATGGTTAATTTGGTTTCTTTTGATTATGTAAAATATTAATATTTTACATTTCAGGATAAACATACAAAATTCTAAACTTGATATTCAGTGTTTTATATTTTCAGTGAATAACTCTCAATGTTCTCTGTAAAAGTAATCAGAACAATAGTTAAATCATTGCTTTATAGTTCGGTTAGCATTCTTTATTATTCTTCTCATAGTAAAATCTAATACTGTGGTATGGATGGAATTGCAGTTCCAAAATTTTTATGAAAAAACATTATTAGCAAATTCTTCCATTTACAAATATTGATTTTATGAAGTTTTTGAAAAGCAAAAGAAAAGCTTTACAGTCCAAAATGTAATTTAAATGTCCATGGCTGATTATTACTTTGAAGAACTTTTGAAGGAGTTTTCTCAGAGCAAGCACAGTGCTTGGCTTGACAAACTATTCATACTCGATAAGTATGTTTTGAATAAATTAATGAAACTGAAATTTTTATTTTACTAATGCCAATAAAACCTGCCAAAGTTCGCTGTTTTTTAGGGCTGCAAATCTATTCACAGTTGTAAATTCATTTCCAGTCTTTAAGGTAATCTTTTTGATTGATGTAATCTTCAAAACTTTAAAATACACTATTGAAAATATTTTTTCTCTTCTATTTTTCAGTTTCCTTAGGTGATTTTTCTGACACCTCAGTAGATGAAAATTCAGTTAAGAAAAAGATTAACGATTTTCATATATCAGATGATGAAGACAAGAATTCTCCAAAACTGTCTTTTTTGAAAACCAAGAAATCAATCAATGATGTGAGGAAAGATGAGCCAGTAGTCTCTATCAAACACGATGCGATGGCACCTGATGGTGGTAAAGGCATGATTGTAAATCCCTTATCTGAATCTCAAAATAAACAAGAAGAAGTTGAAAAAGAGAAAATTAAAATGGAAACGAAACCTATAATTCTTCCAATCAAAAGCGCATCTTCAGGTAATTTGTTAGGTTACTGTAATTGCATTTCTTGAAAATTTATTTTAAGATAATACAAAATACTTTTATATGGTAGCTAATAGATTTTTAAAAATATTTATTTATTTATTTATTATTTATATTTGGCTGCGTTGGGTCTTCATTGCCGCTCACAGGCTTTCTCTAGTTGTGGAGAGCAGGGGCTACTCTTCGTTGCAGTGCACAGGCTTCTCATTGCAGCGGCTTCTCTTGTTGTGGAGCATGGGCTCTAGGCACACAGGCTTCAGTAGTTGTGCTGCATGGGTTCAGTAGCTGTGGCTCACAGGCTTTAGAGCACAGGCTCAGTAGTTGTGGTGCATGGGCTTTGTTGCTCCGTGGCATGTGGGATCTTCCCAGACCAGGGATCGAACCCGTGTCCCCCACATTGGCAGGTGGATTCTTAACCACTGCATATGGTAGCTAGTAGATAATTAAGAAAAAAAAAAATCAGACTTAACTTTTCAATTTTATAGATATAAATAAAAATAATAGAACCATAGAAAAAAACCATAATTCTGATGTCCATTTGTACGTTCAGTCTTACATCTCTGCTAGTGCCTGATAGCTGGCCAAAGTACCTTCAGTCATCCACAGCTGTGGCTCCAAAGCTCCTGGGTCCAGCCTTGCTTAGGCCTGTGAGCTCCAATTTTGTTTTTAGCAGTGGAACTACAATGGAATCCTTTCTAATCCATCTCACACTCCAGACATCAGGGTTATAGCAGCATTAGGGCTAGTCCTTAAGACAATCATTTCCATACAGCCATTTGCCAGAATATTTGTTTGGCATTTGTATATTTGAAGGGGGTGGTGGGGGTAAGTGTTGTTGCTGTCATTGTTTAAGCCTCCAGATTTTCCTTAAGAAAAGAGAATCTCCATTTGGTTTCTCTGTTCCCCAGGAAAATCCACTAAAATTCAGTTTTCTGTGGGGATGTTCCTGGTGTGATTACAGTAGTTTCTTCACAGTTCTACTGAGTTCTGTGCATAGTGCAGCAGAGATGGAGTGAAGCAGGCACCAACTGCTATGACATCCCCTGGGCTGTTACGCAGAAACAAGGGCATAGAAGTTTAAGGATTTGGAGTCTTCTGGTCTTTTTCTGTTCTATAGAAAAAATAGTAGTTGATGTTAACCTTCACAAAAACCTCTTTCCTTCATATCATCATTAAATATGGTACTGGTAAGTATTTCATACTTTACATAATAGCACTGGTAACCTTAGGCAAAGCTATATTTTAGACACTCCTTTTTCCACCCCCACAATTCCATCCACTTTCAAATGAGGAGAAGATATGAGCAAGCAGGGATACTAGGGGAAAAGCTACTGCAAGTTAATTATGTGTGACCTCAGCCGTAGGGTAAACCTCACTGTCTTCATGAGGAGGGGGAGGAAACCTGGTCTCCTTTCCTACAGAATTGTTTTAAGAATCTACTGAAGTATGTCTCAAACTATAAACTTCTACAAAAGTGTAAGCACAAGGCCTAATGAAACACAAGTTGCTAAAATGTACCTTCCCAGTGTACTGAGTAAAATCAAAAATGGAGAGAAGGGAAATGTAATCAAAGAGTGAATAAACACCATTTCCCAAAGTATGTTCCACAGTTTGTTCATTGGTATTGAGGGGAAAACACAGAGTTATAGGAATTTTAAACCAATCTCTTTATGAACTTCTTGAAACTGTTAATAAAGACATATGCATGGTGAATCTTCAAGAAAGAATATGCAGTGTTTCCTAGTCTTAGTTGAGTTTAAAAACCTATTTTTATGGATTACGTTTATCCTATTTGTCCTGATTCTAAAAAGCTTTTCATTAGGTTAATGAGAAAATGTGAGCATGTTATAGAAGCTAAAAATTAGTCTGATATAGATAGAAGTATATAATTAGAACTTTATGGTAGATAATCAGCAATAACCCACCCATTTAATATCTTTTTTAAAACCTGTGACAAATTAAAGTAACTAGAGAAATACTGTATTTTGACCACCAGATAGCTCAGGATTCTAAATGTGCAATACTGTATTTTTAAACAATCATTAACCATTTGCAATTCAGTATATGTAGGATAAAAAAAATTACCAAAACAAGTAATCATTTACATTTGATTGTAAAATAAAACATTTTGATAATGTATAGATGTATTTTTGTTTCTTTCTGAAAACTTGATTATGCTTCTGGAAGTGGAATTTTGGTATAAAATATATTAAAATCATTACTCCTAGGTTATTCAAGTTGAAGAAAAAACTTGAGGCTGCTGGTTAGTGCCTGGCATGTAGAATTCATTAAGTATTTGAATGTTTAAATGAATAATTCATTCATTAAAGAAGGAAAGTGGTTAATGAGCTTAGCTTTGTCCTCTAAATTTTTAGACTTTTTTTTCTTATAGAGTTTAGAACTTAATATTTTTAATGTGGTGAGATATTGCTGAGTATCACTTAATGCTTTATAAAAATATTAGAACCTGAAAGTTTCCTTTGTTCTTGCTTGTCTGCTGTAACTAGTACAATAATCAAACTCTTTCACTTTTATCAGGTAATGGTCACATTGGTAGTGATTGTAGAAAGTAAGTTTTACAGGTTATGCTGTTTTTATTTTAACTTTAAAGCAGCAGAACCTTGACTCCATTAGCATTGGAGTCTGGATGCTCCTGCTTTAATCCCACAAACTAGAGTTTATGACTGTGGGCCCATGACCTCTTTGTTCCTCATTTTATTTACCTGTAAAATGGAGACAATATTTGAACCACCACTAGGGGTTTGAGGCACTTAAATTGAGTTCATGTATTTGAAGTGCTTAGAGCAATCTTAGCATAAATTAAGTACTCTATAAATGCTTTTACTATTCATTTTATTATTCAACATTTGTTCATAAGCAGATCATTTTATTTATCCCACATATTTATTGTGGGTACGATGTTTCACTGTTACAAGCACTGTGATAGTAGCTATCACTGTGGCATTACAAAGACCTAGTACCAATCCTCCAATACTGTCTTAGTCGGTTCGGGCTGCTGTAACTGAATACCACAGACTGGGTAGATTATCACCAACAGAAACCTATTTCTTACAGTTTTGGAGGCTGGAAGTTTGAAATCACAGGGCTCACATGGTTGGATAGGGCCCTCTTCCAGGTTGCAGGCTTCTCATTGTATCTTTATGTGGTGCAGAAGGCAAAGGAACTTTGTAGAGCATTATTTTAAGGGCATTGATCCCATTCATGAAGATTTTACCCTCATGACTTAATCACCTTCCAAAGGCCTCACCTCCTAATAACGTCACTTTTTTTTTTTTTTTTTTTTTTTGGGCCGGGGG